TCTTTCCCTCCCTCTCTTTCTCTCTTTCCCCTCCTTTTCAGACATTATGGAACAGATGGAAGACATGAAGAAAGGGACATGGAGAAAACTGCGAGAAAAGTTTTCTGCCAAGAAACCTGAAGAGGACTCCAAGTGACAGGCAAACTCCCAGGTTCTCCACTGTATATATTCCCAAAGCACTGTGTGTTGCCCTGATGAATAAAGACATTTATTCCTCTTAGCCCCAGTGTTCTTGTTCTGACCTGCACCTCATTCCTTTCACTTTTAGTGCCCCTTGTTTTTCCTGAAACATCCAGCTTGAGACATCTGTGCCACTCTGGAGCAGTCATGTAGTGTGGAAGGAAGAGCTTTGTGGTGTGAGACCAGACCCTTTGTTACAAGAAATAGAACAGGCAGGGCATGTACAGAGCAAGTGGATGCAGCTGTGGTAGCTTTAAATTTCCTTGTGAAGGTACCAGGGATGATGTGAAAAGGCAGCTGTGCTGGACTCTGTGCTGGCAACTGGGAAATGGAGGGAGGGGTGACTTGAATAATTACATTTGTTTTCCTTTTGAGACAGGTCAGAGCTGAGGGTGAGTTTGCCATGGTGACAGAGGAGCAGGGTAAGACTTGGAGATTTCAATCAAGTGCCACAGCAGCAGGAGGCTGGCCCAGCTCTGTGCACATCTCCCTCAGCCTGAAGGGAAGGTTCTGTGTGGGTTACTATCTGAGGGATAAAGATAGGTTTTCATGACAATATAGGGCCATAAACAAATTACAAGTATGATTTGGCCTGGTTTTATTGCTTTTTAAAGCTTTCATGCTTGCATTAGTGACTATTCTTGGGAGGCAGAGGCACAGGGCTGTAGGCCCTGCTGCTTGGCTGGGGAAGGATGAGTGGAGCAGCACCCTGCTCCTTTTTTCTCTATTTGAACAGTGTTGTCCTGGCAAGTGGTGAAAGACTTTGAAACTTTGCAGCAGGCTCTAACCCCAAGTTTCAGGAAACAAGGCTGGTGGTCAAGGTGGTTCCTCATGGCAGGATTCTTCTTCAGAAGAGCATCATACTGTATTTCAGTGTATAGCTGAGGCTGCTAGGTTGTGGAACACCTTGGATCTTTGCATTGCTCTGTATTTCTCCTTCTAACAACCCCAGCACATACCAGAGTGCACAGGGAGAGGGCTTTCTTTACCATGTTTAAGGTTTTATTATAACATGATTTGTGTTTTAATTTAGTTAAGGCAATTTACACTTTAGTTCTTAAGTAACAACAACAACAACAAAATAACAACAACCAAAAAACATGACACCAGAGATGAAACTAAAACACAGGACACCCCTTCACAGTGAACTCCTGTAAACCTGCAGTCTCCTACTCCTACTGCCCAGATATCCTTGGTCCACAGAAGGCAAAAGACTAGTTCACACTAGTAACAAGCTTACTCATCTGGTGAGTTAAATTAACAAAATCCACCTCCTTGAGTTTAGCTCCTCTTTACTGCACCCCAGTGATGAAGAGAATGCTTTAAAATGGAGAGGGATCAGCATGGAGCAGGTACAGCAAATAAGATGGCTGGTTTGCAAAGATCCAGGGGCACTAGTGCCACTCTGGGAATAAGTTAAATATTGCAGCCCTACAACTAGTGCCACCACACCTGGGGGGGACCTCGCCAGGATGCAGCGCGGGGAGATAAAGATACACCCCTGCCCACTGGCAAAATAAGGAGTTGTTGCAATGAGGAATAAAAGTCCTGGATAATTTATCTTCCTACGAGGGTGTTAGAGTAATGTGTGGGTCCAGGGATGGTGAGGAATCCTGGGCAGTCCTTGGTTCCTGAAGTGCTCACAAGTGCTCTAAGGAAAATGTTGCCTGTGAAGCCCTTTGGCACAGTCCATCTTCCTCTGGCAGCAACATCCATGTGTGGAACCCAGGAATAAGCAGCCTCCTTAGCTGATACAGGTGTGCAGCCTCTTGGTGAGTGAAGCTGAAGCTTCTTCTCCATCTTAGTGGTTCATGGAATTCTGGACATCCACAAAACCCATCCTTTGCCTGCGCTTCCGTTGCTCTGTCATCTAGAGTGCAAAGAAGGACACGGGTGAGGGAAGAAACCAGGTCACCCCACTGTGCACTAACTGCTCCTCTGACCTGGCTGCCCTGGAAACCTGCCAGGAAACACTGAGTTTGCCTCTCTCTGATGAGGAAGTAGCAAAAAACACATCCCAAGTGCCCCTGACCCTCCCAAAAGAGCTGCAAGAGCAGCCTTGTGTCTGAATTTGTACTGGCTTGGGCTGGTTCTGCCTCCTGTTCCTTGCAATTAGTGCCTTTGTTGCTGAGAACAGTGGGTTTCCTCAGAAGTTCCTATGAGTAAAAGGTATTTAGTACCTGTTCCTTCAGCTCGTTCAGCTGGGAGGTGAGGTGGGACACCAGCTTCATGGTGGTGTTGAGTTTGTCTTGCAGGTTTCGGATCTCGTTCTGTTCCCCTTCCCCTTCATTGCTGACCAGCGACATGGCTCGCATCCGGGGGAACCAGTCAAGGTTCTTGTTCTGGAAAGGTGACCATGGAGAATGGGAGTTGGAGAGGGGGTGAGGAGGAGGAGGGAGAAGACCAGGTAGGATTTAACAGGAAGCCTGGCTGTGCTTAAGGATTGCAGGAATTCCCAAAGGCTTATTGGTATCTTTGCCAATTTCCCACAAACGTCCAATTTCTGTTGTTTTTCTTGCACCCTGGGCTTCAGTTGAGAAGGTTTTATTTTCTAAAGTTCCTTTCCCTCCCTTTTTGCCTCATAATCACCTTGAAGTCACACTCTGTGCTGCCTGGTTCTGCCCTCCCTTCAGCCCTTAAACACACAGTACAAAGCATCACACAGACAAGGTGGTGGCGGCTGAGATTGCAAAGGTGGAATAACCAGCTGAGAAGGAACAACACTATTAAATATTTCTTCTCAAAACTGTTTTTAATTTGCCAAGCCCTTTGCTCTCAAATATTCCCCTGGGGAGCAGTGGTGGAGGTGCTGCCCTGAGAGGACAGGTACCTTTATCATCTGTGCCACGTAGCTCTCAGGCCCCGTGTAGTCCGTCTTGTTCTTCACTCGCACCAGGACGATGAAGTACAAGTAGTTCCACATGTTGTGCTCATATTTAATGTGCTCCTCAAAGGACACAGTCTTGTTGTCAAACTTGTCCCTTTCCAGTCCTGGGAAAGGCAGGAGAAGGTGGAGGGAGGAGGTGGAGAGGGGAGGAGAAGGTGCAAAGTGAGCAAGCAGACCAATGTGGGAGGGAGCAGAGCTCATTGCATCCTCTCCCAGGTGTGACTTTCAAGAAGTACTTTTAATAATTAGTTGGCATTTAGCAAACAACAAGCATCCAAAACAAGGGGGAAATAACCAGCTGTGGATT